TTGCTGAAGAGAAACAGAGAAATTCTGAAAGGTAGATGCAAATTATTTCAGAATGCCTTCTAAAAAAAAAATCCAAATGCAAATAATCAGCTTTGTTTCACTGTTTACTTTAGAAAACTCCAGTATTGAACTCCAGGTTTAAATTCATCAATTTAAGCAAATTAATGCAAAATCTAGCCCCTGTGTGTGGTTTTCGAAACCATGGCTAGAAGACTGTACGTTTAAGAGGCAGACCAGGATCAAAAGCTTTTTATCTTTACTGTTAACTCATTTTAATCCTCTGGCAAAAAAAGACATCCTGGCTGTGTAGTGGCCTGTGTAAAATGAAATAATGAAATCAGCACAGCTCCAGCTAGCACCATGATGTTTGACATTTCAAACACCACAACGCTTCAGATAAACTGGCAAATTCTTCCGCAGAGAGAAAGGACTTCAATGGCCGCAGAGCAGGAACGAAATCTCACCTCAAAGGACAATCCTTCCCTTTCAGGTGCAGGTGGAGATTAAAAGCCTGACATAGAGATTCTGTGCTACAGCACTTGGAGATGCACCAGTTCTGTGGGTACTTAGCAGATCTCCCTTGCTAAGATCAGACCACTGAGTGTCTTTCATAAACACTGTGTTCAGCATTAATACATTTGCTTTAAAGAGTTGCAAATGAACATGTTCTAGGCAGGATTCAGGAAGCTTTCCTCTCGTACTTTCCAATTTTTTTCCTAAGAGATTGAAAAGCAAAAAAAAAGTGGAGCAAAGTAACCTACAACAGTCTTTAAAAACCAGCTGACTATCTGGACGGAAAACTCTAAGGAACAATTTACATCACCTAGAATTGTCTGAGAGGCTGAAAGAAAATAATTTTTGTTCATTTGTATCTTCTCTCACAGAATATTATGAAATACACACTGGCTGGGCCTCTCAGGTCCCACACACTGTACATCTGTCTGTTCCACTGCCTTTTAAAGCCAGTCCTGCCTGACACATCCCTTGCTCTGGCACCCAGATCTCAGACTGCACAGCAGCATTATTTCTGTTTTCCAGGTACCAGGTGAAGTTGGCTCAGTTTGATTTGCAATCTTGTGAGGTCCAGGAGAAAAGAGGTTCTGGCTATACACAGCAGCAAGGGTAAATATGGTTTTTAGAAGGGCCCTACACTCAACAAGGTCCTGTTAGAAAGACTGTTGCTCTTTCTGGGCATGCCCTGACAGAATAACATCAGAATTGTGTCCATACTGTGACAGGATAACACTCTCAGAAACACACAGTAAATCATGACTTTGCATTTGCTGGAAAAGGAAATCGAGATGCCCCTCTGCCACAGAGACAGAAAGCTTAACCACACTGTGGCATGGAAGAGCTTAAAGTCCCTACTGGAGAGTCTCAAGACTCAGCCCAGTGTCTCAGCCCCTGCGGGAACAGGTTTGGCCACATTTGTGGCATACTGTGCTGCTTCAGCTTGTCACCACTGCAACTGCAGGCAAGGGTCTCTTACAGTGACCCAATGTCTTTCGAAACCACTGTCTCTAAAGAAACCACAGCACCAGGCAGTCACTCAAAATGCTGCCCTGCCTCCCACAGGGCACACTGAGATCCACTGATGTCTTTGCTGCTGCAGCCCCGAGCCAGTGGAAGTCAGTCAAGCCCATCCATACAGGCAGTTATTAAAAGATAACCCAAGCTGTACTAAAAGGCAGTAACATCTTGGCAGATGGTAATGCAAGAAGCCACTCGAACTTCTGTACCTTTCCCTCCATCATCTGACAGTTACATTGCCAGAAGGAAGTGCAACTACCGAGGCACACCACGCTCCATCATGGTGTGGGCATGATCCACGAAATGGGACAGAAACATCCCTGAGAAAAACCAAGGATAAAACATCACACGAATAGAGGGATGGGACCATCATTGTGATGGTGTCTTACTGCTGTTTGCACAAGCAAATAGAGACTGTGTGAAGAGAATTAAAAGAAGGACTGACAGATTTCCCCAAGAACGTACCATGAACCAGCACTACAAGCATCAGGAAAAGATATACCTACAGAGGAGAGAACAGAAACTAAATTTTCCCTAAGTGGTGAAAACACAGCAGGTAAGGACAGGTAAAGTACATGCACCTTATACAAAGGACACATTTTTTCTGCCAAAAGAGTATTTTACCCATTTCTGCCTGGGAAGCACTAACTGCAACATAATGGAAATTAAAAAAGGGATGAATACAAACATCTTTCCTAATGCACAGTGCATCATGAAAGTCAAATCCTGTTAAGCCTTGACTGTTGAAGTAATCCTTACTCATGCAAAAAATCCCAATTAATTCATCAGGGGAAAATGCTGTATTAGCCTGAAAATCTGAAAACCAGCTGAATGTAAATGCCATCTTTACATGAAGCCAATATTATCCAACCGACTGCATCCTTCAGGACAGTCCATTTACTTCGTGAAGAACATGTTAAACTTAAAGACACCAGGCCTCTTTAGCAAGAAACTGAAGCATCAGGGCACAGCAGCTGAGCTAAATTGGTGTTTACTGAAATAAAGCCGTCTCATTCCTTCCCTGCTTGGAATAAACAAAAACCAAACCCACAACAAAAACTGTAAAATTCACTCCCAAGGCTTTCTCCAAGGGCAAGTGAATCCTTGTATATAGGTCATCATTTGACTTCTTCAGAGGAAAAAAAACCAACCATACGGGCAGCAGCGGCTGTATTTCAATGTAAGGAGTGGATTTCACTTTGTGCTGGAAATGTTTGCACAGTGTCCTCAAAAAAAAGAACGTGGGAAACAAGAAAACATGCTGCAATGAGCCATGTGAGACTGTGCACAATCAAATTACAGGAGGTAGCATTTTCCAGCAGTTCGAATCACAAGACATTGCTTCTATTTTGGGATGTACCTGGCTTACCGTTTGACCTTGGGTAATAAATGACATGCACTCTCTCTGGGCATCCCTTCCTTCATTTGTAAAAAGATGCACGGTCTGATCTGGCAATGTACTAATTAAAATAATTCTGTATTAGGATGAGAACATTTATTCATAGGACACAAATTTTGCTCAAGCACAAGTACATAGAGACCAGAAATCACTGTAGTTTTCCTCATTAAGGAGCAAAATTAAAAGTTTTAATTTTTGTTAAAATTAACAACTAAAGTTGGTTTTATTAATACTTAACAATTTATTTCTTGCATGATACATTTAAAATTACAATGTATTGACAAAACAAGTAATACCATAGAAGGACATTAGCTTACTGATGAAAACATCAGCAAGGAGACAGAGAATATGTTTTCTTGGCAAAATAACTCCCCACGATTGCAGTTAACCCACCTGCTAAATACATTCCACAATAAGTGCACACCTTTGCTTATCTGTGGGGATGTTTAACTCTTTACAGCTGCGTTAAGTATAATTTTTCACCCAGCAAGCAAACAGAGAGTTTTCCCCTTCATCACACTGCTTGTAAGAAGTGATTGCACCTGCTCTCCAAACTGTTCAGCAGTTGTTCTCAAGGATGTAAGACGAATGGACAAAGGAATTAAATGAAGCAGTAGAGTGCAGTGTGCCACCTCATTCAGCTGGTATGTCACCATACCATCATAAGCACTGATACAGGCACTAGACACACTCCCCCAGTGCAAAATGAACTAACAGGGATGGCTTATTTCTCCATGAGAAACCATCCCTTCAGGCTGGCACTGCTGCATAAACGATTGTGAGGTGTCTTCAAAACTTTCCTCTCGTAGAAAATGCTGTCAGAGTGAAAAGTTCAGTTATGTTATGGTTACAAATAACATAAACACGTTTATGGTTGTGATTGTCAGACAATGCCATACAAAGAAACAGCACACCTCTTTATGTATGCTACTTCAAATGCCTAATGCTGTAAGAATTCTTGTTCAAGGCAATCAAAGTATTTAACTGACTTAACATTCTTTGTGTCTTCTCTGGATATCCTCGAGCCTCCTGAGACCTCCAGTAAGTGAATTTCCTCGGACTCCAATTGCAGTGACTGGTATTGGATGGGGCAAGGCCACTTGTTTTTACATCATTTATTTACTTGTAAATAAATGTTGCTTCCTCTCCTGGGAGGAAAGAAAGCCAGAAGCATATGAACTTGCAAATCAGTGATTAGCAGAGGAAACACAAATTGGACCCGACAAGAGGACAGGAACAAAAATCTACCAACTGCCTGCTCAGATACCAGACTGACCTCATAGTAACAAACACCACAGCAAACAGAATCAGTTGCAATAATTACTGTGCCCTAGTCAGTGGAAGCCCTGAATTGTCAGCACTGACAACGACAATATCCTGGGGTAAAATCCCGACTACTGAAACCAATAGCATGTTGAACCATAACCACATCTTGTGCTTCCAGCTAAAAGAACGGCTCTCATTCATGAAAAGCACCAAAATACAAGGACAGATTTCCAAAAGTCTGTATGCTGAGCAAGACCAAGTGCCTCTGAAAATCTGGTTCCTTGCTTGCAAATTACAGCACAGCACAGCTTAGTACTGTATACCCAACACTCCTCCCTTTCTTACCCACTTCATCTTACGGAAATACTCTTGAAAGCCCAGGGTGGCTCCTGCCAAGTAATTCACCATCTGGCAACCAACAGCTGATGCTCTTGGCGTGCCCTGGGATGCAGCGGCTCCGCTCCAGAGCCCGGCGGTGAGACCCCATCCCACTCGCCCCGTGCACTCCGCTCCCTCCGGCCAAAGACACATCTTTTAATTTCGGGAAGAAACAGCTAATAAAGGAAGCCCTCTCCTCCCGGGGGAGCAGTCCCTCAAAGTACAAGCTGACAAAGACGCCTTTTTTTTTTTTCCCCCTTTTTATTTTGTAGAGACCCGCGGCCCCACTGCATGCTCCTCCACCGCCAGCTAGAACCGAGGGCACTGTCCCACCTCGGCGGCAACGCGGGAAGCCGGTCCGAGGGACCGCCGCCAGCTTCCCGACGGTCCCCCCGGGGATGCCCCGCCGTCCCCCAGCGCCTCTTACCTCCATGCCCAGCCGCTGCTTCAGCACCAGGGCGGCGCACAGGTACCCGGCGCGGCCCACGAAGAGCTCGTCGGAGCCGCACTCGAGGAAGGAGAGCGGCGCGCAGACCTCGCTGAGCTCCCTGAACTTGCCCAGCGGGCGGGCGAACTCGGGCAGCCCCAGGGCTCGGTAGACCAGCGCTGCCACCGCGTACACCCCGGCGCCGCCCAGCAGGAACGCGGCGCGGGTGTCGGCGTCGGCCTCGCCGCATCCCTCCTGGTACCGCAGACAGGCGTCCACGACGCGGCGGGCGGCCCGCAGGTACGAGTCCCTTGACGGGGCGAACAGCGGGCACTGCGCGACGTGGTACAGCATGTAGGCCACGCCGGCCACGCCGCCGTACAGCCCGCCCGGGCACCCGCGGGGGCCGCCCAGGGGCGGCAGCTCCCGCAGGATGCGCTCGATGGTGGCGGTCACCAGCGGCACCGCCGCCTCCCTGTCCGGCGCCGCCGCGGGGCTGCCCGGGTAGTCATCGAAGCGGTTGGCGAAGCAGCGCTGGCTCTCCATCGCCCGCCGGAGCCGCGCTCTGCGCAGCGGGGGAGAGGCGGGCGGGGGCTGCCGCTCAGGGGGCGGAGGGATTGCGAGGGAGAGGCGGGAAAGGGGCGAGGATGCCGGGCGGGGGTGGGTGACGCCGGCCGGGAGTCCCGGCGGTGCCAGGGGCGGGTCTGGCACAGGGCGGACGGTGCCTCCCCAACGCCCCTCGCCCGCCGCCGCCCCACCTGCGCTCGGCGAACGCTTCCTCGGAACGTCTCCCGGGATGGCTGTGGCTGACCCGAATCTCCTCCGCAGAGCTGAGGAGTCCCGGCTCTGGTGTCCGGATTTTCATTCACGAATGGAAGCTCTCGCTGCACCTTTGCCCGACCCGTCTGTGCATCCCCGGGGAAAAGGGGTTAATTGGGTTCTTCACTCTCCCCTGCCCCGCTGCTGCCAGAGACGCTACCACTTGGCTCAGGAATGAGTTCTGGGTCTGCAGGAGAGATCCAGGGGCAAAGAAGGGTGGCTGGATAGCTGCTGAGTTATTCCTGGCTGTGGAACGGCCCCTCGGGGGCTGCTGCATCCAAAGCTGAAGGATGTAGCCAAACCCAAACGACGATAGCCCGAGGATTTACATGGGAAGATGAGCAAGTCCCCAGCAAACCAGTTGTAGCACAAGGTCGTCTTTGGCCCCTTTCCTTCGTGCATAAGCCAAGCAGAGCTTATAAGGAATAGAAAATTTAGGTCACTGAATAGATTCTAGTTAAAAGAAAGGGGAAAAGAAAAAAAGAAGGAATATCTTGAAACAGATACTTAGAGCAACTCTTTAATGATACAAATACACAGTTGTCACATCTTCCCCTGATGATGTGAACTTGTGCAGCGTGAATTCATCGTCAAAGACTTATGGGCACCTGCTGGTATCTGGTACTTTCTCTGCAGATGCAGCCTCAGTAATTGAGGGCATTCCCAAAGGAAGGTGGAAGTAGCAGCTTGCTGGAGGCTCCAGCCAGTAGCCACCAGTTGGCACAGCAGTAGCAAAAGCCAAAGCACTGTCCTTTGGCCATTGAAAGACCTTTTTAGAGTGTGTCTGGCTTCTCTCAGCCTCATGCTGGCTGTTTTAGCTCTCTTCCTGCCTCCTCTAGAAAGTACCTTCAACTCTGTGCAGCTCCTCACTTGCACTTTCACACTTACTTTTTGATTCAACCCACCCATCCTTTCTCTTTCCTTCCTTTGTATGGGGTTTATGATCTGCTCAGAGACGTTTGCTTTCACCCTCTGATTTTGGTTTTTGTGCTTTCCTTCAGTGTCTTTTTGCCGTGTTCACATTCCAGACACCCACTGCCTCGTCTGTGTTTGTACTGTGTTCCCTATAGCCCCATTTTCAGTCTTACCCACAGCTGTACCATATATTGTTTCTATCACACAAATCTTGCCAATCTAGAGCACTGAAAATGTGAAAATGCCCCACCAATAGATAGGACATCTCATTCATGCAGTATTTATTGTCATTAACTGGCTCCTGTCAGCCCATTGATAAGGTTCGGGGTGTAGCCAAGGATTTTCCAGCATAATTTCTGTTAGTGTAGAGAAATGTGTTCCCTACATGCTCTTCTAAGTGAAAATTTGGGAGTTTTGTTTTTCATTCTGACACCATTTATTCCACATTTTTTGGATGCTTGCTTCATCTTTCCAGTATCCTTTTCAGATTAAAAGGACTGGTAATTTCCTTCAGTATTCTGGAGTGGGAGATGTCTTGGACATAGTCTTCCTGTTCATGTGAAGGAATCCTCTCACTGGAATTGCTTGTCTCCCTGCATTGAATGTAACTGAGAGAGTTACCTTGGCACAGGTACCTCTTTTTGAGAACCTCAGCAAGCAGAAATGGACCCCTGCCAGTTTCAGCAGCAAAGGGTTTAAGAAAAATACAGAGTTTATGAGAAAATCAATTGGGTTAGCAACATTTTTCTGCAGGAGGGTCAAATAAGTGCTACAATATTTTTCAAAAGAGGGTCAGTAATGACATGCCAAAAAGAAGCACTTTCTGTGCTCTGGAGAGTCTTTTGTTGAAATAAAGAGAGCTTGGCCACTGTGGGGTTAGCACATGTCACGCAGCAATCAAGCAAGAAATGAGAATGGCAGTTTCTGCTGTACTTCTTTTGTATGAGTATTAACCACCAAGGCCAAAAGGAGAGATACATTAAAAAACCCCACATGCTTCTTATAGCTGTAAAACCCCCAAATCTTAAACTACTCATGCTTTCTTGTACCAAAGTTTCACGTTTTCAGATGGGTTGTGTTCTGTACCTTTTTCTCTCAAACAAGCACAGTTGCAGTCCCAATAAAAAAGGGAGGAGAAGAAGCGCAGATTATCAGTTGTAGATCATGTGTCTCTCATCAGATCATCCGAGATTTGCCCTTCTCTTGAGTTCCAGAGTAAGTGTGGGCCTCCAGTGTGGGCCTTTGGTTTCAGAAAAATATGAACTCCCCTCTCTCACTTCTCTTCACTGTTGCAGCTCCCTGGTTTGTGCTCTCTGAACATGCCATTTCTCTTCTTTGGCTCTTTAAATCTGATGCTGCAAGCGAAGTAAAGGGAAAATAATTATAGATTGTCCAAGGAAGAGATGTGATACTGGTGTGGTGGGTAAATGAGGGAGCTGAAGCCTCAAAGCTCTTTGTTCTGTTTTACTAAATCCACCATTATGCAACACATATTCTGGAGATTTATTGTTACATGTTGATAAAACGTGTAATCATAGAATAATTCAGGCTGGGAGGAACCTTAGAGTCTAGTCCAACTTGTACTTAAAGTAGGGCTGATTGGTGTGCTTGTTCGTGTATGCTTGTTCACTTCTACTTGCCTATTTACAGATTCCTTCAGGGAATCTGTGCCATCTGATATTTCCGGCAGAGCACAATAGTCTGTCTTCAGTTGTCATGTGGGGACTGGAGGCATCTCCTAATAAATGTCTGATTGGTTATTCTGGCATTTGTCTTGTATACTTTTTACTGATGTTATAATTTTTATGCCTTCAGGATTTTTGGATACCCCTGTGGTTGCGAGTTTTGTTCTTACCCAATGTTCCACATTTCTCCCAAGCCTAAGGTGAAATACTGGGCTCCATACACAGTCTAAGCTTCAGGAATAGAAGTGTATTAAGTGGTGTAAACACATTAGCAGGGTTGTGCTGGAGGATCTTCAGGCTGCTTTGAGCACACCTGCTATTAAATTCAAAATGAGTTCCTGCCCTAACTATTAAAATGAGACATCAGTACTCTTTACTACCCGGTGCTGCTCTTCCCTCCACAGAGAGTTTTGCCACTGCAGGTCAGTTTTGCAGTTAGCTCTTCTCCCTGCCTGGTTGGGCTTTGTCCTGGAAATCCACATTCCTATCTGAGGGGCTTTGGGGTTTACAGGGTCACCTCTGTCCCAGCCCTGTAGTCAGTTCATGTTTGATGGGCAGCTGGCCCTTGGGCATTTGGCAGAAAGGAATGAATTAGGCAGAGCTGTTTCATGTCCACATTAGAATAGAAATACTTGTATTTCCAGTGTTATCTGTTGAGGGCTCTTGAAGGGGAAATTACCACTGCACTGCAGAGGCCATGGTAGTAGCCAAAATACAGAGGAGTCTGACCAGGAGTCATACAGTGGAGGTAGCCCCCAGGGTTTCATGGCATTGTCATTCAGTTGCCATGTTGCCCCAGCAGTTTCTGCTTGCTCAGTATATTCTGGTTTCTTACCATAAGCATTTTTTTTCCATTTCTTAGGTTGAACTACACATCAGAAGATGAATTACTTTTTGCTCCAAGGGCACACTGAATTTCTGTTTACTGCTCAGTTTCATAAAACTTAGGAATTGAACAGGAGTTTAATTTCTTTGAGACTCTGCCTTTATTCCCAAATACGGTAGAAATTGGCCAACAGATGAGAAATTTAAGGATGGTGGGAAATACTGAATAGATACTGGACAGTTATGCATGATCATGCAAGCCTTGCCTCCTTAAGAGACAAGACTAGAATGTTTTTGGGGTTTTTTTGGGTCTTGATGTTTGTTTTCTTTCTTTTTATGAAAATGTGCAGAGAAAAACTTATAGGTTTTTTAATAAGATACTGAAAGCATGGGCAGAGATACTCATTGCCAACAGAATTGATTTTTATTACAGAATATCACAATTTCCATTTGGAAATGTAGGCTAATTTTGGTAATGGTTTCGGCTTAGATAAAAACATAACAGCCTTTATGGAGGCTCTGAAAAGAATATTGCATTTTTTAGTATCTCTGTGTAATCCTACTTGTGATGAGTGAATCACGGTTCAGCTGTTGAAAAATGCCAGGACTTTCTGCAGAGCAGGAGGTTTGAAGTTTGGAGTTTTGGTTTAACTGATAAAAATCCAACTTCAAAATGGCCCTGTCCTGAGCTTTTTCATAGGCTTTGTTATTCCTGGCATTCCTTCCCTTGGCTCAAACCTGCTCAGACTAACAGGATGGCAGAACTCTTTCCTGCAGACATGTCTGGCACAATCCACAGTTTCTTTGTCCAGTAGATTATGTCCATTTTTTCACGTTCAAGGTGATTTCTAATGGACCACGAGTGCTCTTGTGTGCTTGTAGAGCAGTAGTTCATCTGCAGTTCTCTACCTGGTTCTGATACTTTCTAATGGAATAAAGAAGGAAAAAAATCCCACTGGGCACTCTACTGTAGATATTAAAATGAAATAGATATTTTTCATCTCACTAATTAGTCTGTCAGTACAACATATACTGTAAATTCTAAATTTCCTTAAGTGCACCTTTTCTACAGTAGATGTCAGTGTGATATCCAAGATTTTAATTGTAACATTTTTTGTAAGAGCCGGAATTTGGAAGCATTTCAAAGTACAGGAACGAAAATGGACATCGGAAATCAAGTAGTCCATTTTGCTACTGCCTTTGTGCTAGCTCATCTCAGTAATTGCTGTGATGGAAATAACAGACAAACAAATGATGTTTCTACTTGCCAGGGCAGGGACCTCACCAGAGGGCCCACAGCAG